TGCCCGGGGGGCTGCATCCATTCCCATTTTTTCGATAGAAACTTTTTTCCCAATAGAAACTTTGTTTTGTTGGGTTTTTTTTTAGAAAAGCTTAAAAACACTGAACGGGGGGGGTGACTCTTGAAGGTGTTTTCAGGAGCAGCCGGTTTCTTCCCTGGGCACACAGCCATGCTCTGGGCATGGTGCTCAGCATCCCCGCAGGGCTGAGCTGGACCCTGGCGTGACTCGTCTGAGCTGGTGGTGCCGGTGCTGCTGCGCTGGCATTGCTGCCCTCCTGGCTGTGCCCGTGCCAAGAGCTTTCCTGTGGTTGCCCACCGAGGGCTTTGGGGGGTGTTGGTGCTTTGGGAGCTGTTTTGGGGTGTGCTGGTTCCCCGTCCCCCCCCCGGCACAGGTTTGGGGGTTGCGTGTGTGGGGCCGCTGGATGGGTGAGCTCTGCCTGTGCTGCGTGGGTTGTTCCCACCCAGGAGAGGTTGGCAAAACCACGTGCTGGACCCTGTTCCCTGCGTCCCCTGATGCCACCCTGCCCGAGATCCAGCAGGATTTGCTCCAACAGATGGATGTTTGGGGGGGGAAATACCATCCTGAGGCAGTCACCCAGGGGTGTCATGGAGCAGGGACAAAGCCCAGGGGAGGGGTGGGTGGCATCAGCAGGTCTGTGCTGGACCCTGGCCCATGCCAAGCGCTGTTCCGGCTCGGTCCAGGGACAAAGCCTGAAGTTCATGGTGCTTCTGCTAGGGATGGTGCTGAGCTGGGCTGCACATGGTCTGTTTAGCCTGGAGAAAAGAATGAGAGGGGACCTTATTAATGTTTATAAATATCTAAAGGGCAGGCATTGAGAGGATGGGGCCAGACTCTTTTCAGTGGTGCCCAGAGATAGGACAAGGGACAACGGGCACAAGCTGGAACACAGGAGGTTTCACTTAAACATGAGGAAAAACTTCTTTATTGTGAGGGTGCCAGAGCCCTGGGACAGGCTGCCCAGAGAGCATCTCTGGAGATGTTCAAAACCTGCCTGGATGCAGTCCTGTGCAACCTGCTCAAGGTGAACCTGCTTTGGCAGGGGGGGTTGGACTGGATGATCTCCAGAGGTCCCTTCCAATCCCCACCATTCTGTGAGAGGGGTGAGGGGTCCAGGGCTCAGAGCTGCTTCCCTCCCTCCTGGAAGCCCTCCAGGGCTTCACCCTGCTGCCAGCCAGGAAGCTGAGGGACAAACCAGCTGCAGTGAGTTTTTTGGCCTCCAGGTGCCATCTGCTGTTGTGTCCTCCAGGCAGAGCCATGCTGGCCTCACCAGTGTACCTGCTCCTCTGGAACAAACTGGAGATAACAGCAGGGAAATGCCCTTTCCTCCCCAGCAATGGGCTGTGGCTGCTCCTTTTCATGGACTTTCTGGTTTGGGACACC